CAGCTGCAGAAAGATGTTCATCCCATTTGTCTTGATGATATGTTGTGTAAGCTCTTAACATTTCCTCCAGAGTGCGAATTCATTCTTTCAGTTTGTCCATCTGTTTGAGGTAAGGTTGCGGGAGAAACTCCTCCAGAAATCAATCAACAGAGTTTTGACAGGTTACACATTAATTGTTTATTAGAGTTTCGGCAGAGTTTTGCATTTTGGGGTTTTATCAATGATCAGAGTTTTGACAAGGTATATACTAATTGTTCATTAGAGTTTTGACAGAGTTTTGACAGTCACGAAGAGCTTTTGGCAAGCAACCTTAACTCAGAACCAAACAGGTTGTTTTGTCAAGAAATAGTCAATGTAATCATACCCAGGAATTTCAAGAGATCATAATAATTTTTTTACTCCAATGTTGCTTTTAAAATGTTTGATTTATTAATAAAATTTTATTTTTTTCGCTTGTGCTTTGTTGATCAAAATGTCTTACCTGGGGGTGGGAGGTGAGTGCCTCTATTAAAACGATATTAGCTAATATATGTCAACGCCCTTACTGTTACTACACATAAATATTAAAAAAATTTCTTGATATTTATCCTTATTTTTTTTTGATTTCACTATAAATTTCTCTTTGTATTTTATCATTATTATATAACTCTTTGTTAATTAAAAACATAACACAAATTTATTTAGCAAATTAATCACATGAAAGTTACAGGCGTGCATTTAGAGAGGGTGATTTTATGTGAATGGGGATGGAGGAAGACCGTGCAGTGTATTTATGGAGGGATGCATTTATCTCTTAAGTCCCGAGGTTGGGAATGAGACATGGTGTGTATTTATGGAGAGCGTGCATTTATGGAGTGTGCACTTATAGAGGGCTCACTGTATATACAAAATTACATTCTTCAGAAATAGTGTAACTTTGCAGAATTGGTGGATATATTTTTATTTTTATAAAAAAGAAAAAATCCCATCGAAACGAACCAACAGACAAGATCAACACGTGATAAAAATCGAAGATATTAGGTATGGGTAAGTGTTATTATTTATGAGTGGTTGCAACCATTCGTCACGCTAGTTTTAAAGAATGGTGTGGTGACAATTCGTTATTTTTTACAATATTTATTAAATAATAATTGTTACCATAATCTGATACATCTACATTAAGTAATTCAAGTACATGCTCTTCGTTTATATAACTTATCATTCCATAACCACTCTCAGCATGAAATTGCCAATACTCATCAGGAAATTCTTTAGACAATTTATTAACCTCCATTACATTATACGTTTGAACTATTGTTTTCTAATTCATTTTTTGTTAATAAAATAGTTATCATGTTAATTTTCGATTGATTTTTTTAATAGCCAAACAAAGAAAATCTATATGATCAATACTTCTGATTGTCTTTTCTTTGATTCTAAATTATTGTTTGATGACATTTCATCATCATCATTTTTATCAGTAACAGTTTTTAATTTTTGTTTCATTAAACTAGGTTTTGATTTGCTGTCACGCTTAATGTATTTTGAATCTCTATTTATTCTACCCGAAGATGATGCTGTTGTTGTTGATGACGATGAACCTAATGATGATGATGATGATTCATCTGCATTTTCTTTCTTGTCTTTATTACTAGTTATGCCAGTTCTTTTTGATAAAGTTTGATTAGCTTTTGAAGTTATTTTAGAAAATTTGGTTTTTATCACGTTTGATTTTCTTTTTCGAGAAGTTGGTGACGATAATGTTTTTTCAGCTGTCTTTGACTTTTCATGTGTTGATTTTCGAAGTATTTGTTTGAATTCAGACTACAAATTAAATATTTTAAACGTTTGCAAAAAAAATAAAAATGACAAATTAATTCTTTTTCTTACAGCAGATCTTGCGGCCGTTCTTTGAGTCATCTTTAAAAAAGTATCAGCAAAAAAATTTTACGCGATATTATATAATTTTCTTATTAAATTAAAAAAGAATTATTTTCCTTTTTTTTTA